AAGCATTCACTACAAATGTCCTAGTTTAATGGTTAAAGCCTTGCAATATTCTGATGCAAGAAATCCTAAAGGTTGCTTCACTTGCAGGTCAGACCTAAATATCATTAAGTTATGCTTTGAAAATAATCACTACTACTGGGTTACATTGCCTTGTCACTTTGCAGTTCATGTTTCAATATAAGAACACTGATGGCACTTTTCCTGCTTGATCAGAGGAATGAATTTGAGTAAAACCTTTTGTACTCACCCACGTACAGCTTGTATGTCACATAGCTAATATGTGAGTTGCAAAACTACTATGACAGTTGCAAAACTTTCAATGCTAGAAACTCAAACCATGGCATCAGGTGTATAAGAAAGGAGGTAAGAGGGGAACAGAGGTGAGAAAGTTCATGAGGGAGAGGGTCTTATACTTCATACTGTCCATGAGACTGTACACTGCTTTGCTGCTGACTCACACAGTCTTAGTTTTGTTGAACTTCTGAACAAAAATCATCCAAACTGCATGACTAAAACTGCAGCCCTTAGTGCTACTCAGATACATCCCAACCCACAGAAGATATCTGCAAAAGTGAAATACTCAAAGGAACAGCTCCAACAGCAAGGTTCAACAGCTCCATCTCAAGGTCCAACAGGTACCATGATATTCCCCTGAAGTTAAGCATAACAGATTCAGAGTATTAGAGTACTGACAAAAGTAAATAATCTGCAGCTTGAACTGAGAGTGCAAACTGTTTAGAGACATTACTAAGTCACTAACTGGACTCACGTTGTTGGCTGACAGCTTTCATTTGGGAATACTGAGCAACAGTGTAACTCTATCAACATAGATTTTACAGGGAGATAAAAGGACTATACTAGTTACTGTTCAGACAATAAAAACTATTATTGACACAAGATTTTATGACATTTATTACTACAAAAATAAACATTGTCCGTTGATTATAACATGCTAGGTTTAATCTCTTTTACTACTGACTGTGTCTATCTATAAAATAAGACACACTAGCTAAATATTGGACTCAGTCTTTCTTATACCTACTTTAGCATACAGTTATATATTACCAACTCAAAGTTTATCTTTCTAATTAACTCCAGTAGCTGACCAGTAGCCTGTCAGAGGCATTTTCCAATTTACTTTTTGAAAAATAAATGAGTTATCACAGGAAAAAACAGACAAAACTGAAAATCTCATTAAGAGTATAGTATTAGTATAGTCTAATTAGTGGATAGCAGTTCAGCACAGCAGCACTTAGACGTTAATCTCATCACCTGGTTTGCTTTTATGTACCTCAGCGTAACCCTCAGTGCTGAAGAGCAGGATGTGGTACAGATTGGAAGATTCCTCCTTTTTTAAACAATGTGGGAACAAGTTGAGTCACTCTGCATCTGCATTTAGTTAATTGGAATCAAAACGGAGGACTGATCTTGGCTAAGTGCTTTGAAAATGTTGTGTTTCTCAAAGTGGAAAACCACTTTGAACAATCTGCATGACAGCATGTGTTTTTCTCTCATGGCTGAACACAGCCACCACATGATGTAAGGTGAATGTGTGAAGTCAAGGCACTGGTTTAGGATGATCCTGGGAACTGTGGTTAACTAAAGAAAAACAGCAGGTGCTGTTTACAAGAGAATATGAATAAAAAGGGGAAGACTGAAAAGGATTGGTGGACAAATACCAAAACTGAACTCTTTGTGGTGTGCAGCTCCATTCCTCTCAGCGCCCATAAACATCAGTTCTCTGAATGGCTGAGTAGTTATGTTGCCTCATCAGCTCTGCAATGAAACTCCACTGTGAAATCTTCAGTCCAACAAAATGAGTTTATGGGAATAGTTCTTGCCAAATGTAGGTGGCAGCCAGGCATGATTTGCTAGTTTTTCATGTTTTCCCAGATAAAAGATTTTGGTTGCTTCACATCAGACAGACTGTCACATTTTTATGACTGAGGAAAAAGGTCCTAGGAAAGGAATGATGCAGCCTTCCTTATTACTGACCAGTTCTAATAAGAAGAGAAGAAATTGACCCCCAGAACTTCAGCCCTTAGCTGCAGGGGTAGGAGCTGTAGAGGAGATGCAGCCACACTCATGATATAGTTGCCAGTCTGCAGCTGGTGCTCACAGGGAAGCTGCAATGTATGATGCTAATAACTTATGTCTAGTCATGGCAAACAGCTGTCCTAACCAACTACCATGTCAGCTGAAATAAGGAATAAAAAAAAAGACAATTAATTTAAGCCACTCACTAGGCCAACCAGGTCCAGTGGAAGTCAAAAGTGACTTAATCTTGCTAGTGAGTTTCTGAAGCATATTACCGAGGCTAGATCCCCTGAGGATCACTGAGCTGCATTCACCAACCAGTGACTGAGCAGGACCTGGGTGCATGTTAGCAACTTAATGACTGTACTGCCCTATCTCATATTTGAGGGATAAGAAAGACATGGAGCACCGTGAGAGAATTTTGTGCAGACAGTATTTATTCCTTTTTCTTATTAGACTTATCACTGGCAGCATTAATATGGTTTGATGTAGCTGAAGGCAGTTGAGTGGACACCCTGATACTAGCTGGCTGCTTACAACCTAAGAAAGTGCCATATCTACAGTGAAGGAGGTTCAAGGGAGGGGTGTAGGACCTTCAGCAGAAGCCCTAAGTCCCCCCCAAAAATGAATGAAAGGAGCAAGTGTAAGAACCAAGAACCACATAAGGAAAATTTCTGTTCCATAAGAGTGTCTCTTTCTATGGTTTAAGGACATAAAGACAGGAAAGAATGAAAAATGCCATGAAAAATTACCAGCTGTCTCTCCTGATTAACTGCTATAATGCATCAATTAGTTTTTGGATGGAAAACACTTTCTGATGAGGTTTTAACTTTTAAGTCAAAGATTTACTATGTTCAAAACAAAAACTCCACTTCTATAAGGATTTGCATAAGTTCCTATGGGTAATATGCATATTTAAATTTAAGGATTAGTAGAAAAAAAAATAAGAAAGTATCTCCATGAAAGCAATGTTGTTCAGGCTACTATGCTGCTTAATCCTAACATCTAATGTTATCAGGAAAAGTCTTTAGAAGAGCAGCCATACGATTGTCTTTTTTCTACTGAGAGTTTTCCTAAAGCCACATATTGGCAATATCAGTGATAAGAGACTAATACATTACTTTCTGGCACATCCAAACCTCTTGAGTCAGCAATATACCCTGGCAGCCAGGAGGGCCAGCCGTGTCTGGGGGCCATCAGGCAAAGTATCACCAGCTGGTTGAGGGAGGTGATTGTCCTGCTGTGCTCTGCAGCCTGATTGTCCTGCTCTAGTGCGGCCTCACCTTGAATATTGTGTAATGTAAAAAATGTAAAAAAGACATTAAGCTACTAAAGAGCATCCAAAGAAGGGCCATGAGGATGCTGGAAGGTCTGGAAGGGAAGCTTTATGAGGAGTGGCTGAGGTCACTTGGTCTGCTCGGTCTGGAGCAGAGGAGACTGAGGGGAGGTCTCATTGCAGTCTTCAGCATCCTTAAGAGGCAAGTGGAGGGGCAAGTACTGATCACTCTGGTAACCAGTGACAGGACCTGAGGGAATAGGATGAAACTAAACTGGGGGAGGTTTAGGTTGGATATCAGGAAGAAGTTTTTCACCCAGAGGGTGGTTGGGTGCTGGAACAGGCTCCCCAGTGCAGTGGTCACAGCTCCAAGCCTGACAGAGTTCAAGAAGTGTTTGGACAATACCCTCAGGCACACGGTGTGACTCTTGAATATAGTCCTATGCAGGGCTGGGAGCTGGACTTGATAATCCTTGTGGATGCCTTCCAACGCAGCATATTCTGTGATTCTACGATGCTATGAAATACTTTGGATGACACTGAATATTTTTTGCTGGTCTGTCATGAGTGATCTGCTGAAAATTATAGAACTGTAAAAAACATAAATGAATCTATTTGCAACATTTTCCTTCCTTTCTATCGTAAATCCTTCTTTTTCTTTTTTTAGGAAGACTCATTTGCAGTATATGCTGCTCCTCAAATATCCAGAGATATGCCCTGCTCTTGAGTTTGAAATGTGGGGATAGTCTTTTTGGATATGGTGGGAGAAACATCATGGAAGACATTGGAGTGAGTCTGTAAAACTGGAAAGCATGTAGGTTGTTTCAGCTGGCACCAATTTAGCATTTGTGAGATGAAGTTTGATGACAGACCTTTGAGGGAAAAGATGTCATCTCAGAGAATTAGGTTTCACATATGCAATCTACTACAACAGGAATTCCATAGCAAACAGTGTGTGAAAAATGGCTAAGTAAACTGGCCTAGAATACAGAGCTTTATTTAAATATTTATTTTAAATATTTTAAAACAAATTGGTTCCACTTTTTCACAAATGTCTTTGTAGCACTTTAAAACAAGAAAATTTCTTTTTTAGAAAAAGTATCTATTTTGCCCCTAGCCTTAGTCCTTCTTACACTAATAAAGAGCAGAAATAAAATGTGAAAAGAATTTCAGAGTCATTTTGTACATAACTTAAGTACATTTCCAATAGTCAGCATTAAAAGGAAAAACTGTAAGTTTTGTGTAATTGCAACTAATTATTGCAACTAACAATATTTCAAATTGTAAAATACATTTTTGCTCCCTATATTTAAGTCTATAAATCCCACTTCCTTTTCTCCTTATTCATTGTACAGAAAAAAGACTTAGAAAAAAATGAAAAAATATATCAAACTGTGATTCTTTTGAAATATTCATCCTTAAATTTCACTCTTTTTTTTTTTTCCACAGCATAAAATTTGTGAAATACTAGTGTTTCATTCTTTTGTGTCAAATGGGAGAATGAAACTACCTACCAGTATGCAACTTCTTGCTCCCACTTGGCTGAAAACTACAAATATGTCAAAAACAATCCCAGGAAATTTGCTTGCATTAATATCAAGCACAGGTTATTATATAAGAATCATAGAATCATAGAATCAACCGTGTTGGAAAAGATCTCTGAGATCATCAAGTCCAACCCTTGATCCAACACCACCATGGTTACTAGACCATGGCACTAAGTGCCACATCCAGTCTCATTTTAAAAGCCTGCAGGGACGGTGAATCCACCACCTTCCTGGATAGCCCATTCTAATGTCTGATTACTCTATCTGTAAAAAATTTCTTCCTAATATCTGTATTCATGCTTAATTAGACGCTGTTAATTTTTGGTTGTGTTTGGCCCAGCCACCTGTGAGAGTCTGTTCTTTTCCTGCCAAGTTATGAGAAACAAGCACCAATAAAAGAGAACTTCGTCCTTGAAGGGAGTATCTTGTATAAACTGAATTGGGGCCTGACTGTTGGCCGATGGCCCTACAGGGGTATTTGAAGGTCAAAGTGAAGAGGAGGAGGATGAAGTAAGACTCATTTAGAAAAGACTCCCAGCGTGCAACACGCAGGAGCAGGGGAATTTCTAATGTACACAAGCATGTGCAGAAGGGGTACCACTTACATAAAGAGAGGAGGGACCGAAGGCATCTAGCTGGGTGGTCCTGGCCACACCTGCCCAGGTAGGCATCACAGGTTAATTGTATAAAAGCAGATAGCTCTTGCTATCTGGATGTAAGCTTGTAGCCGTCCGTGGCAGCACTCCAGTCATGTGAGTCATCCCACCACGTTTCTGTGATGGCGACATCATAGCTTTCCTGCTGCACGATGGCTTCCAGCTCCTCTTGTTTGTTACCCATGCTGTGTGCATTGGTGTTCATGCACTTCATCTGGGCTGCTGATTTCACTTCTAACTCTGGCTTTCCATCCTTAGGCTCATCTCTGGCGAGCCTGGTTTCAACCCATTCCCCCTTCAAACCTACATTAAAGCCCTCCTGATAAGCCCTATCAACTTATGGGCTAGAGTCCTTTTGTCCTTGCCAGATAGATGAAGCGCATCTGACTCTAGCAGGCTTGGTAACATAGAATTTGCCCCATGGTCAAAAAACCCAAAATTCTGCCTGTGGCACCAATCCTTTAGCCACCTATTGATAAAATGGATTTTCCTACTCCTCTCCTCATTCATCCTTGCTACTGCAGGAACTGAGGAGAACACCACCTGTGCTCCTGTCCCATTAACTAATCAACCCAGCTCCTTGAAGTCCTTTTTAATTAGCCTGGTGCCTCTTTCACTAATGTCATCACTGCCAGCCTGGACCACCAGCAGTGGATAATAATCAGAGGGCCGGATTAGCTCAGGGAGTCTCCTACTAATATCCCTCACCTGGGCCCCAGGAAGGCAGCAGACCTCCCTGTGGGATGGGTCCAGCTGGCATATAGGGGCTTCAGTTCCCCTCAGAAGGGAGTCACCAACTACAACTACCCTTCTTTTTTTCTTTATAGCTGTGGTTGTAATCCGTCAGGTAGATGGGGTGCAACCGGGAGACCCTCCAGACAGATCCTCTTCTTGACTGCCCTCTGCCTGACTCTCCCAGGGCCCCATACCTGTTCTTTTAGGGCACCGTGGTGTGAAGGAACAAGATTCAGGATGGGAACAGTTCCAGGCATGGAGGAAGATATACAGCAATTGACAGGACTTTATTATACGGACTTTACAGTTTTTATGTGTTTATATACACACTGTATGTTGCCCTTATATTTCTATTTCCCGGGCACGCCCAGGCATGCTCACTTCCCTGCTTCCCTGCTTCCCTCTCTGATTGGCCGGAGACGCTGCAGAGAGGAGACAGCCACCATTCGCCCTTTCCTTCCCTGGCTCTTCCCACGTTCCTCCCCCTTTTGCCTGTGTCCCTATCCCGATTTGTTCCCCCGTTTGTCTGTCTCATGCTCCACCCCATGTTGTGGCCCTGTCCCCGCCTGAACTGATAAAAGGTCCCGTGCACGCCTCAATAAAGCATTCCATCTCCAGCGGTAAGTTGTCTCCTAACTCATCTGTGCTGTGTCACGGCCCTATCCCCCCTCGGACCATGGCACTGTGGGAGTTGATGGGGGTCAGGAGGGGATTCTTTTACCTCTTCGATCGGGGACCTGTTTCCATCCCCCCCCACCTACTTGGTTTGCTCCATCTGCCTGATGGCAGGAGGGGCAAGGCTTCACCATCTCCTGCTGGACTTCTTTTGGGGTCAAAAGGGTATGACTCCACCAGTCTATTTCCCTTTCACTCTCTCTAATACTTCTTAGCCTCTCCGCTTCTTCCTTGAGCTCTGTCACTAAGCACAGCAAATCATTCACCTGCTTGCATCGTTGCAGGCATCTCTCACACTGTCCTCTGGTACTGACACCAGGCTCAGACACTGCAGCCGGTGACCTGAACAGCTGCATCTTTCCTAGGGGGTTCTGTCTGGGTTAACACACTCCCCCTGAGAGCAGCAGGCTTTTGATGTTTGGAAACCCTTGCTGGATTGAGAGAAAAAAAAAAAACAAAACACAAACCAAAAACTGACAGCCACACACCTACCTCACAACCCACCAGAGAGAGCTGTGCCCATCCTGCTCACCCTGCCTGTGCCAACTGCCATGCAAACTTCTGTGCCACATTCTCACCGACGTGCTATGCCCCTGTTTGCCGTGCTCCCTGCAGCAGTTTAAATCTCCTGGAAATTACCTCAGCTCCACCGCCTTACATATAACTCGTGTGTGTGTACATATCTATCTATCTATATATAGATAGATATAAATTAAGGCATATATACCTTTTACATTAGCATGATTGGTCAGAATATTTTTACAGCTGGCTCTAAACTGTATTGCTGTGCTGAGGTTGCTCTACATGGCAGACATTCTGTGCATAGATCACTGCTGTACACAGTGCAGCTTGTGTCCAGAGAGAGTCCCTCAGGACAGGGATCCCAGGAACACGCATGGGCAATGGCATACATGGCATGTGTCTGTGCTCTGTGCAGCAGAACCACGTGGACTGTGCTGCATGGCACATCATGTGTTTTAACAACAAGAGGTGGAGGCTAAATTTGCCTAGAAGCACTTTCCAGATTTGTTCCCTGACATACAGCAAATAATGGATTTTTCTTAAATTGAACTAAGTTCAATATTTAGAGAAAAAGACGAAAGAGAAGTATCTTGCATGGAGGAGTCTCTGAATTTCTTAAGAAGATGTGTAACCATAATCTTTCCATCGGGGCATTAAAAAAACTATCATAAAACTTTTGGTAAAAACTTAATTTTTTAAAGGGTGAGGGTAATCAAAGTGTTTCCTAGAATACTGTCTTCCCTGCTCCCTGACGCTTTAAGCGTCAGCCAAAAATGGAGGAAGAACTGATTCTGTAGACCTTGACAGGCTTACAAAACACAGATAATCTAAAAACTTCAATAATTCAAAGCCTCTTAGGCTCCTTCAGCCTTATGTGTTTCCTAAGGAAGCATTCCTGAATCTGAGACTTCAGCAATGTGGAATTCTCAAATACTGAATTCCTGCAGAGGGAAGCAGTTCACAACAGTGCCTTTAGCAGTCACCAGACAGTGATAAAGATATTGCCAGACAAACACTTGTAGCTGGGACAATGTTTCCAGGTGCAGAGGAGCAACTTGTGTAAACAAATATATACAATGTGCTCTATCCCTGTCTAGCCTTCCGACCTAGAGAAGTTTCAAGTCTAGGCTTTCAGCCTGGAAAAAAAAACCCTCAGGCTTTTAGATCATGGTTTACATACCAGCTGTTTCTGACCTAGGTGGAGATATTGCATTAGAAATAACCTGAGTATAAGGATATTTCAATTCCTTCCAATTCAGTCATTAGAAGTCTAGAAAAGTCGTATTTGTAAAAACAGGTTTAACTTCAACTCAGAGGCATTTATTTTCCTAGAACTTCTACAGAACTCAGCATATTGAGTTGAAAGCAAAGTTGATTTGGAAAGAAAGTAAAAAGCCCTCTCCTTCCTACCACAAGGTACCACCGCCATAAAGGTCACACCTTATGTGGATTGAACCACTAAAAGGAAAAGGGACATAACAGCTCCTAGTGAAATGTAGAGATGGATAAGCTACAGAGATGCTACAGGTGGTAGCATAAAACAGGAATTAATGCAAGCACTGGACGTTACAACTGAACTAAAAAAATAGGCATTGAAGTGGCACAGTGCCACTCTCAACACTCATTTCCCCCTCAGATTTAATAAGAAGGAATTTTTAAAGAAAACAGATCCCACTAGGCCAATTACTTAAAACATGTGGACACTGTCTAAAAAATTCAGCTAAATGGGAAGATTTGGTTTTTTGATTATATACACTTTCTCATTTAGAACTCAGGCAAGCAGAAAATGATGCTCTACAATGGGTTCCTCTTTATAGGAAATAAATCTATTCCCCAAATCTGTGTCTTTTTAGGGGGGCATGATAAATGTACATCCAACTACTTCAAAGTACACAACTTGCAGCTTAAGCATCTAGAGATACAACTATTATTCATCTGTATCTGTAGCTATAAAGGAGAAATGTCAGTCAGATTCAAAAAAATGATTTTTAATATAAAGAATCATCTCAGCACACATTTTAAACCAAAGTCGTTTATCCAATTCTAAAAGGTACCTGTAAATTCACTGTTCAGACTGCAGAGCAGTTTCTAGATCAAGTCTTGAAGCTGATATGATTTGAGCTTGGATTTGGCCCATTGTTCATGTATATGAAGTGGCAGTACTGCTTAGAGAGGCATATTTATCACAGAGAAATGCATTTTAAACTCCAGAGAGGCTTAAAAGTTCCCACTCCCTCTCCCATATCTTTCAGAAAGACACAGATACCTGCACATAGCCATGCCTGCTCTTCTGCAGCATTGGTATTTGCGAGTTTTTCTTAACTTTTCTCACATTCAGAAGCAAGCTTTGGTTTTGTAATTACTATCAGAATTGAACCCAAGGCTAATCAAAATCAATTATCAACTCTGAGATGGGAGGAATAAAACAGAGGAAGAACAGCAGAGCAGCAACTGGGCTTATGATATTAAAAATCTATAACAGGCAAATCTATGTCTCATTCTGACAAGTGAGGCACTCAGCATATCCATCATTCCTTTCATCTTGCAGATGATTGTAGATCTTGACACATAATACTGCAACCACATCTTTCCACCAAATTTCTATAATATCTGCCAACAGTTCGTAAAGGTTCTAGATAAAAATGATGAAAAACTCATATTTCATAAACCTACTTAAGAACTCCATAGCTTTTAAATATTTTCTTGCTTCATTTTACAGTGACTTTTTTCTTTTTAATTAGTATGAAGCCCTGTTCCTTCACCAGGAGATAAAGAGTGCCAAACATATCAGATCTAGGAGACTGGAAAACAAACAGGTGGAAAAACTAATAATAAGCATTCATATTTACACTTGCTATAAAAGAATTCTTTGTGTTGGAGGAAGCTAGATAATATATAGCATGCCATCTGGTTTGCCTAGAGATGGGACAATGAGATTTGCAGATCACAGCTTGTCCTAGACAGATATTATCACCCATTTAACCCAGTGCTTAAGCAGAGTCAGCCCATGGACAATGAAAAGCAGAGGCAAAGCAAGACAGTGCTTCAGCTGGCAGGGCCAGGAAGCAGTGGTGCTGGTGGTCACATCTGCAGGTTCAGCTAGGATTTTGGTGTAGTGCTTGATTCCCTGTTTTTGCTAAACTTTCATAGAAGCATCTATGAAAAACAGTTTCAGCTATCTTCTGTTAGGTAGGAGATTCTGACTCATGCTGTTGAACAGAGGCAGTTCTCACAAACGTGTTACATCAAGTACTCAGCATGATGCTTCCAGCTTTTGTACAACATGGGCAGAACATCCCTGTGGCATAACAAATAACATGGAGCAAATGTGCCTTCTTTTTGTAGTATCAAGCAGAGACTCCACTTAGATATATTCATTTGTCCAAAAGACAGTTGTCCAGTCTGTACTAGTCAGGTAAGCTTATTGATTCTCTCATAAACAGAAAGATTTGCTCATAAGAGCAATTTGGTGTAGATTCCTACAGATAACTTGATGTAAAAAGGTGGGACACAATCTGGAGTTGCCTCTTTTCCCTGAAGGACTGTGAATGACTACATCCTTAGTGCTTACAAAGCAAATCAAGATCCCATTTAGAGCAGAATCAACCTAAGGTTCTCAGTTATTACTTTCAGAGTGATAAATGGTCAGCCTCAGCTTATACAGACCAATAAACTCCAGTTGTTGAGAGGGAAGGTGCTCTGTGGGCTCCATGACACTTTCTACAACAATGGTAAGCAGAAGAATGTGAAAGAGAAAAAGTTGTTTTCTTGGACAATGTGAGGCTGGACAACAATTCCTGCTAAAAACAGGCACGATAGTATCACTACTCTTTAAGTGTGCAACATGTTTCTGACCTTGTCTGTCCTGACAGAAGTCCACAGTAGAGCATATCTTAAAATATATTTTAAAAAAGCCTAAGAAACATACTGAACAAATCACACAAACTGAACAAAATCCTCTCTCAAACACATGGAGAGGGAACTGCATGCAAGAGAGCATGTGGACCACACATGGCAAATGTTATTCATATCACTCAGAGCACTGCTGGAAAGCTCTCATATATTAAAATAACTTGAGGAAGAAATCACTGAGGTAAACTCTGGCTTTTCTTTTATGTTAGCTTTACTTAAAAAAGCCCATGTGTGATTAAAAAAACACTTTTATGGAGACAACTGGATATTCACATAACGCAAGGTAATGTAAGTTTCAGCCATTCTAGGTTCTGCTACTGTGATAAAGTTTGCTCATTTTAACACTTGAGGCACAAGACTGACATAATGCATATGACATAATGTATATCTAGCTGTGGTTAAAAGCAACATGATGAAAAATTAAAAGATGACCTTCACACATGGTATATCAATTTTTCCATGAAATTTGGAAATGGTTTCTGGTATCTTAGAAGTTACCGTCCACACCAGCGTGTTGCTGGTTTAAGTTGTATGAATAATGTACATTACACTGAAATCACAGCAAACACAATTATTACAATTAATTGTATGTAACATATTTTAAAGTGTTCATTGTCTTTCCTGAATTAAAAAAACCCCAATATTCCTATGTAATAGTAATTCCTATTTGGGTATAGGAATGCTCGAACACTGTATTTGGAAATAAGTTTTCCAAAATAATTTATACTGTCACAGCAGAAAAGTGATAGCACATATTCTCTCTGATAAGTACTATGAATTCCAAGTTTGACTTACCAATCCTGCACAGCATTGAAAGAGTCTTCATTTGTGATGTCATACATTAAAATGAAGCCCATTGCACCCCGGTAGTAAGCTGTGGTAATAGTTCTGTATCTCTCCTGTCCTGCTGTGTCCTGAAACAATAACAAACAAAATTTTTACACATTGCAAATAAATTGAAAAATTATTTTTTACTTTAATAGAAATAAAACTGAGAAAAGTTATTGTACAACTGTGCAATCCTGAGAAAAACAACAAAAAGAATTCTGCATTGGATCATAATAGGAGGGACACATTGAGTATGTCATGAGGTGAGAGTGGAGAGAAACAGAAAGGCATGGCCCCCTGTCAGGCCATATATCCTGAGTCATCACTGATTCATGTTAATCAATCTGAAAGTCAGGTAAGAACCTTCTCTCCTGCCCTGTACCTTCCCAGTCTGACAGAGGTAAAATCTCATGTCCTGGATAAAATGCTGGAACAAAATAGCACCCTTAAGATCTTCATTATAAGACCAGGATGGTTCCTGAAATCAGGAAACATCCTGACCAAAAAGGCAATGTCTGGTTGTTCTGTTCTTGTGATTTTAAGCCAGTGGTTCTCACGTGAACTTTAGCACCAATACGGCTTTTTCCTTACTTAAAAAAAAAAAAAGACTGTATGGCAGTGTTTTTAAAATGAGGGTGATATCTGACTGAAAAAAAGGAGTATGCTATCAGTCCCTTACCTCAAACCACTTTTCTTCCTCAGTCTTTGCAACTCCATCAATTGCCTTTAAAGAAATATAAGTTTTCCTTTCTCCTACTCTGTGTGTTACTTACTACCTTTAAAAGTGTTTCAGGGTAGGGACTACCTGTTAATACATCTATATGCAGTGCCTAGCATAATTTTTA